TTTTTTTTTTTTTTTTTTTTTTTGGTACCAGGGATGAAACTCAGGTCCTTGTGCTTGCGAGGCAGGCGAAGGAACCACTGAGCTAAATCCCAGCCCGATAGTGCTTACTTTTCATCTCCATTGTTCCTTAGAACACAAACTTAGCATATCAGATACCTACCAGGTTGGGAGATATAATATTGCCCTTATAGCATATGTGGAGGTCCTGATATCATTTCCTATATCACTTTCTCTAGGGACCTCTTGAAAATCCTGACTCACACAGTGTGGGTGGCTCAACCTATTTTACAGAGGAGGAAAACTAAGGGCCTACTATTCAGTGGGTGGGCAAAAAGCAAGTTCTCAGACGGCCTAAAAACTCTCCTGCTAACACTCCTTTTAATTCCTTGCCTGTTTCAGAGATGAATACACAGTAAGCTGACCAGCTCAGGGCCCTCATCAAGGACTCCCGGAGCCCAGCAAGATGCTTGGTCCTCAGTAGGGTTACAGGGACACATCACGCACTACTGCAAAGCACTTTGGAAACAGTAACAAAAAATTCAGAATTAGACAAGCATGGTGATGCACACCTGGAATCCCAGCGCTCGCTCGGGAGGCTGAAGCAGGAGGATTGCCATGAGTTCAAAGCCAGCCTGGGCTACGCTGCAAGTCCAAGGCCAGCCTGAAAGAAAGAGTGAGACCCTGTCTCAAAACAAAAAACAAAACAAAACAAAAACTCAGAATTGGCTATGGGTTTTTCCACAGCACACCCCTAAAGGAGGAAGATTTGAATGAACTTGAGTTTACAATCCAGTAACTTCATCCATGGAAGATACACCACCAATCACTCGCCTCTTCGTCGTTGGTGGAAAGGACCATAGTCAGCTCCTGTGCTCCTGTGGACCAGAGAGACCACAGAGAGACCACAGAGGATCCCTTGTCTCAGGCCATATGGACAGTCAGGACCCTGAGAGGGTGGACCCCGAACCCCTCCAACAACTCTTCTGCTGACTCATTCTGCGAGGACATATTTTCTATAGTCTCAAGTACTTCTTGCATATGTTTTAGAAACTGTCCAAGGTATTTTGAATTTGCCTTGATTTTTGTTTTCTGTTTTGGGGAGGGTTGTTTGTTCTTCACTGTAGTGGGGATTAAACCAAGAAACTTCATACTGAGCAACATTCCAACCTTTCAAAATTGTTTTTAATTTTCTTTATTTTTTGAGTTGAGGTCTTGCTTTGTAGTACAGGCTGACCTTGAACTCACTATATACCCCAGACTGGCCTCAAACTCAAGGGTCTCCTCCTGTCTTAGCCTCCCAAGTGCTGCAGTTACAGGCATGCACCACTATACCTGGCTCAAGATTTTGTTTTGTTTTGTTTTGTTTTTTTGAGACAGGGTCTCGCTATGTAGTTGACACTGACCTGGAACTCACTATGTAGCCCAGGCTGGTCTTGAACTCATAGCAATCCTCCTGCCTCAGCTTCTCAAGTTCTGGGATTACAGGCATGCGCCACCACGCCTGGCTAGGCTCAAGATTTTTTATAAGGGCTGGTGATATAGGTCACTGTGAAGGTCCTGGGACTAACCCCCAGTACCACACACACACACATACAAGTATATCTACAAAATGTATAGAATTCTGATTTGTCACAAGTCTGTCTTCTTGTCTCTATCCCTATTACTAACATTATTTTTGCATGAGAAGGGATTATTCTGTATACCTGTTATCCTAGCACTCAGGAGGCTGAGGCAAGAGGGTCACTGTGAGTTTGAGGGCAGCCTGGACTACATCGTGAGACCCTGTCGGGGCCCGGTTTTTATCTCAGTGGTGCCGCTGCCTGCTTCACAAGTGCAAGGTCTGGAGTTCAATCCCTGGTAACAGAAAAAAAAAAAACAAAAAAATGGGGTTTGATCGCTGGTACTGAAAAAAAACAAAAACATGGTGAGACCCTGTCTCAAAATGAAGGAGGAGAAAGAGGAGGAGGGGGAGGAAAGGGGGAGAAGAGGGAAAGAAGAGAAAGAGAAACAGCTACATCAAAGACCCTCCAGCCAGGATAGTAGTGCATGCCTGTAATTCCAGCTACTCAAGAGGCTGAGGCAGGAGGATGATAAATTTGAGGCCAGCCTGGACAATTTGGTGAGACCTTGTCATGGGAGGGCGGGTGCTGGGAGGTAGCCCAGTGATATAATGCCCTGGGTGTGATCCTTGGTATTACAAAAAAGGAAAGAGGGCTAGGGATTTAGCTCAGTGGCACCAGGCCTGCCTCGCGAGCTCAAGGTCCTGAGTTTGATCTCCAGTACGGCGGGGGGGGGTCCCTGGGGGGGGTCCCTGCAGATTGTCTGACCTCAGCTGAGAAGACCATCAGGAGGGTGGAGAGATGAAACGTTGCCTGCCTCCGGCCAAGATTATCTCGGGCTGTTCTAGGACCCTTCAAAAAACAGCCACTTCCTCTTCGCCTTTGTATCTGACCCTCATTCTCCTATTAGGTAACCGTTTTGGAATGTGTGCAAAGCTTAACAGACTGCCAGCGCCCACCACTCCCACAGCTAAGAACACCAGAAGAAGATTCCCCCTTGGTGGCAGGCGCCACTGAACACTCAGCTGATGCATTTGTGAAATACACTGATTTATGACTTTCCTTGTTCTTGGGCTGTAAAAGTTCTTATAACATCTGCCACTTTAGAACTTGTCACTCACTCAGAAAAACCTGAATGACAAGTTCCTTGGTTTCTTGTACTTGGCACAAAATAAGCTATTCCTTATTTCCTTTGGGGAGGGGGTTGAGACAGGGTCTGGCTGTGTAGTTCAGGCTGGCCTCAAACTCCTGTTTACCTTCCTGCCTCGGCCTCCTGAGTGCTGGGATTCCAGGCCCACGCCACCACATCCGGTTCCTTATTTCCTCTGAAACAGAAGAGTCTGCATCGACACTAGGTGCAGCAGAAATATTGGCAGAATGAGCAGAAGGCCGCAGCGTTGCTGAGAGCACACGGTGCCCTGGCTCCCTCCGTCCCTCTGTCCCCTCAAATGGGACTTGAACCCAGAACTATCTTCCCGTGCTTTCTCCATAGCCCCGCTATGGGGCTGAGGGTTAAGGAAGGTTTTTCTCCAAAGGAAGCAAAAGGAAGGAGCCTGAGCACGGAAAGGTCCAAACAGCCCCCTTTCCCAGCCGGCAGAGGGACTTCAGGGCAGTCGTCTGCATGCAGCCCTCCTTAGGCACCTAGCCGCTGGCAGACGGCCCCGAATCAACCAAGGGTTGAAAGAACTCCTGGGAGAAGAGGACTTTCTGGGGTATTTGAAGAGGTGTTTTGAGGCCACCTCAGAGGACTGTGGAGAATCAGGGCCACGGGGTCCGCAGGGTGATTCACTCCCTCTGGGAGCCGCGCAGAAGGTAACCAGGGACGTACTCATCACTTGCTTCTGCCTGGACCCGAAGTCAGGAATGGACACTGGGGTCTGCCCGAGGGAATGAGAGTGATTTTTCCACTTCTCGCTTGTCTTTTCTGTACACTACGGTCAGGTCAGGATGGAGTGTCTGTGGATGAGGGTAAGAATGGTTGGACTTTGAGACCAGTTTGATCCAGACCCGTCTGCTTTATAATTAACCGGAAGTGGTTTTTAGGATCATGAGGTCCTCACCTCCGGAGCACCTCCCCAAGGCCCCTTCTCCATGGACTCCCCGTAAGGACAGGGTCACCTGGGAAGATGTTTCAGCCCCAAAGCCACCTCCTCCGAGGAGTCTTCCGGGATTGGCTTTATCTAGAGGAGTCCCCACCCCCTCCCCGGCCCAGCAGTCCACCCTCTATGATGTCACAGGCTGTCACCTTTGCTGTCATCCGAGCATTGGCGCAGTCAGCAGTCACACCGTGAAGCTTCAGTCTCCCCCCAGAGAAGCTGTCAACACAGTGAGGACAGGAAGTTGTCATTTCAGAGTCCCAGTGCCCAGAGACCCCGAGGCCCACAGGCAGATACTGAGTCAGAACTTTTGAAAAAGATGACAAAGAACAAGATTCCGGGCTCAGTCACTGTCGGGATCCAGAGAGCTCCCAGCGGAGGGCAGATTGATCCCACTGCACCACACTCGCTCTTCCCTCTTCCTTTGATTCTGATTTATGTTTGTTTTTGTCTGTTTTTTGAGACACAGTCTCCCTATATAGTTGAGGCTGGCCTTGAACTCGCTGGTAGCCCAGGCTGGCTTCCAACTCATGACATTTCTCCTGCCTCAGCCTCCAGAGTGCTGAGATGACAGGCATGCACTACCATGGCCCACCTCACTTGCTTATAACCTCCGAAGGCTACTCCTCCAGCTGGCATCTCCAAACCTTTCCAAACTCCTCCCAGTAACCAGTTCCAAAGATGTCTGGACCACGTAGTCAGGTGGTTTCACGCCAAGGACCTCTCTTTTGGTACCAAACTCTGTCTCAGTCACTTCCCCATGGCCGAGACACAATACCTGACAGCCATACTATAAGGAAGGAGAGGTGTATTCTGGTTCACATTTTGGTCCATGATCAGCTAGGGGTCCAAGGCAGGACAGCGTGGCAGAGGGATATAGTGGAGGAGAGCTGGTTACAGCACTAGGGACCAAAAGCAGAGAGAGAGGGAGGAGCTGGGGAGAGCAAGAGAGAGGAACCCTTCCAGGCCACACCCCTGCATCCCCTGATTACCAACAACCAGAGAGCTGGCCCACCCACACCCTAATCCAATTACCTACACACAGGAGGCTTTAGGGACCATTTTAGATCTGAATTATAACAGAGAAACTGAACCATCAAGTCAAGTGTTCCTGAAAGTTCAAGTTTGCTGAGACCTGAGAATGAAGCCCATGGTAGTCACAGGGGACTGGCGTGGAGAAGCACCCAGTGATGACTTTCTTAATTACTTTTTCTTGTTGCTCAGACAAAATATCCAACACTCAAAGTTCAAGGAGGAAAGGTTTATTAGCTCACAGTTTGTAGAGGTTTCCAGTCTGTAATCAGCTGACTCCAAGGCAAGGTGGCACAGCAGAGGTCCATCGCAGAGGAGAAACGGTTCATGGCAGGCAGAAGGCAGCAAAAGCATCCAGGTAGCAATTGACAAGCAATGCCCCTTCTTTCCTTATATCTTACCCTTAAGGCAGGTACCACTCACACCCTTAATCGTAGTGTAGCATCCTTGATCTCAGCATCACAGAGCCTACATCCAGCCACCTCCAAAAAGCCCCACCTATGACTGCATAAGACTCTGGGAGAAGTCTAGACACAAGCCATAACAATGTCCTCTAAAGACTGCCACTTGAGGTCAAGTGAAAAGACCACAGACAGAATGTGGGTTCAAGCCTGGCTGAGACATTTTTCACTGGGGTGACCTTGGACAAGTTCCTGTCTGTCCCACGAACTTGCCAGGGTGGAGGAGCTTGTGGAGCATAATGAGACTCTTAGCTTTGCAAATTGTGAAGTGTCTTTAAGGACCAGGGGTGACAGCTGCTGACTAAGCATTTATGTAAAGTCACCACCATTGAAATGCTCTCCCAAGGTCACACAGCTTCTGCTAACATTGTTCAGCAGAGAACAGATGGAGAATTTCCAGTCTTTCCAAAGCTGGGTGCCCTGTGAGCTTCAGGTCCAAGACCTTACTACTCTGACAAAGAATGATATTAATTTGAAAAAAAATACTTTTGCATTGGAAATGCATAACATGTATAAAAATTAAAATAGGGACAGGAAGAGCTGGGCATGGTGGCACAGGGCTTTAATCCCAGCACTTGGGAGGCTGAGGCAGGAGGATTGCTGTGAATTCGAGACCAGCCTGGGCTACATGGTGAGTTCCAGGTCAGTCTCAACTACATAGTGAGACCCTGTCTCAAAAAAAAAAGGGACAGGAAGCCATATACAGTGACATACTACTATAATCCCAGATACATAGGAGGCTGAGGCAGGAAGGTGGTAATTTAGAGGCTAGTGTGGACAAGTTAGCAAGACCCTGTCTCAAAAAATACAATGGACTGGGGGTATAATCAGTGCCTGCGCAAGGCCCTAAGTTCAATCACCAGCAGCAGGGTGGGGGAGAAGTGGAAAGAGAGAGACAGAGACAGAGAGGGGAAGGAAAAATCAAGTACAATCTGCTCCTCTGATGTCCTTCTCAGAGGCAATCACTACACTAGTGTTTTTGTTTTAGTTTTTGTTTTTGTACTGGGAATTGAACTCAGGACCTGCACTAGTTTTTTTTGTTTTGTTTTGTTTTTTGTTTTGGTACCAAGGATCAAACTTGGGTCCTTGCACTTGTGAGGCAGGCGCCAGAACCACTGAGCTGAATCCCTAGTTTTGTTGTTGTTTCATGTCTGGTGCTGGGGCTTGATCCCCAGGCCCTGCATATCCCAAGCAGACACTACCACTGGGCTACATCTCCAGCCCTGATTACTATACCAGTTAGCTCAAAACCTGTGCAGTTACAGGCAACTCCTCCAGCCTCTTGTTGACACAAATCCTGATATGTGACACAAATGCTGCTTCTTACTTTTTGTTTTGTACTCACCAGTCTATCTTGAAAAATCACTATCAATATGTATAGGCCTGTTTTATTCTAATTGCTTGTAGTCATATCCATTGTGCAGCTGTAGCTGTTTGTTTGTTTGTTTGTTTGAGACTGGGTCTTACTATGTAGTTCATTTGGCTTTGAACTCACTATGTAGTCCAGGCTGACCTCGAACTCATAGCAATCCTCCTGCCTCAGCCTCCCAAGTGCTAGGATTATAGTGTGCCCCACCACGCCTGGCTGTGCAACTTTTATTTTAACTTCTTTAGCCATCTTTTATTGATGGGCATTTGGTTTATTTCCAGTCTGTGGCTATTCTAAACAATGCAAAAGTAAATATCGTTTTTCATCTTTCTTGGGCAAGGATTATCTTACAGAGAAAATTCCTAGAAGTAGAACTGCTGGGCCAATATGTCTCTGTGTATTTAAGCTTTGGTTAAATTCATGCCAGGGTGTGTGTGTGTGTTTAATGCTTCATGCCATTGCTACATTGCTTGGTATTGTTTGGGTGCCGGGGATCGAACTCCTGAGGACTTGCACTTGTGAGGCAGGCAGCAGAACCATTGAGCTAAATTCCCAGCCCAATGAGATTACTACATTACCAATGTGTCCATACTTTCCACTGTGGATCAAGAAAGTATATGGGCCAGGGGTTTGGCTCAGTGATTCTGCCACCTGCCTCACAAGAGCAAGGGCCTGAGTTTGATCCCAGATAAAAAACAAACAAAAAGTACATAAAGGTGAATTTTCACAACCTTCATTTCTATGTTGGACTGAGTGATCTTATCCATTTGCTTTGCTCCTGGGACAGATTAGCCATCACCCAAACAGAAGGGAGGAAAGGTTTATTTTGGCTTCTGTTTCAGTCCATAGTCAGCTGGTTCCGTGGCAGGACAAGGCAGCAGGAAGCAGACAGAATCAAGGGAAGAGCTGGGGAGGGACTCACCCTTCTGGGCCACACCCGCAAGTGACCCACCTCTCCAGACCAGACGGACCCCACCTCCTAATACCAAATCAGCTCTAAGTCCCAGTAATCCAACCACCTTCCAAAAGCCCTGCCTATGAGTACTGAGGCTGTTTTGGACGTCTGGGTATAGACCGTAATATTCTGCCCCTGGCTCACAAAAGACTCATGTTATCTTTTCATGTGAATGTATTTAATCCATCTCAAAGAGTTGCCAAACCCCTAAAAAATTCAGTACTGCTGAAAAGTCCAAGATCAAAGCGTCCTCTGAGACAGAAGACAACCTCTTAGCTGTGAGCCCCTGTAAAAAAAAAAACAAAGGAAAGTTAGGCAGAGGATGTAGCTCAGTGGCACTGTGCCTGCCTGGCAAGTGCAAGGTCCTGAGTTCCACCCCTGGTACCACACACACACACACACACACACACACACACACACACACAAAATGAAAGTTGAGTACTTCCAACATACAACAGCACAGGATAAACATTCTCATTCCAGGGCCAGGGATTTAGCTCAGTGGTGCCGCTGCCTGCCTCAGGAGTGCAAGGTCCTGAGTTCAATCCCCAGTACCAAAAAATTAAAAATTAAAAAAAAAAAAATTCTCATTCCAAAGGGAGGAATAGGGGTACAGAAATCAATGGGACTAAAGCAAGACAGAAATCCAGCAAAGCAAACATTTAATCCTGCAGTCGTGGTGAAGAGATGTGAACTCCAAAGGACTTGGGATGGTCCCACCCCTCCCTATAGACTGCTGGTGGTCACAGCCCTCGTAGCCTCTTTCTGGAGCTAGCCTTGTTCACTCTTTGCAGCTTTATTCCCTACTTCTCCAACTTCTTGGGGTCTCTCATGCACTTTTGCTTCACTCTCACAGCTTTGCAGGCTGGCTGGCCCTCCAGGACTTCTTCTGAAACTTAGATGGAAGCCTCCGCAACCCCACATTCTGCATGTCTGGAAACCAGCATCATGTGGATGATGCCAAGGTCTGCTGCCAGCTTGAGCAGTAGCCGGGCCCCCTTAAATAGTGGCTGCAGAGGCCACTAGGCCCCTGGATGTCTGAGCACTGAGAACCGAATCCCAGGAAATCAATTCCCTCTGGTATTTTTCTGCTCAAGCAGGGTGCCCTGGGGCCTCTTTTCAAAGCAAAAGCTTTCACTTTTGCAATTTTGAGCCTGCAAAGGGTGGGGCCTTGTTGGTTCTTCACATGCCCTCAGAGCATTTTTTCCCTGGTCCTGATCCAAACTACTTGGCTTATTAATAATACTACTTTTGAGCCAGGGACTTTGCT